AACTATGTGGATGGTCTCAAGGCATCTCACCTGTTGGGTAGTGCTGCACTTCTAAGCTGCCATGTAGAAGAGTTGAATTGCTGTTATAAAGAATTTTCTACTGCCTTGGAAATAGTTCAGTCTCACAAAGTAGAATTAGCTGAGAGAGGACTGCCTCTAAATCACCCAGAAGATAAACGTATTTTATTTTTTTAAAGATTTATTTATTGATTTTATATTCACTGTTCTGTCTGCATGTATGCCTACAGACCAGAAGAGGGCACCAGATCTCATTACAGATGGTTGTGAGCCACCACGTGGTTGCTGGGAATTGAACTCAGGACTTCTGGAGGAGCAGCCAGTGCTCTTAACCACTGAGCCATCTCTCCAGCCTGATAAATGTATTTTTTTTTTTTTTTGGTTTTTCGAGACAGGGTTTCTCTGTGGCTTTGGAGTCTGTCCTGGAACTAGCTCTGTAGACCAGGCTGGTCTCGAACTCACAGAGATCCGCCTGCTTTATTATTATCAGGGCTGTTAGAATTTAGGACGCTCCGGCACACTTTGTTGAACTGGATTGTCTAGATATTTAGTTCCAAACTACTACAGAGAAGCCACCACTGATTTAAAACCAGACATCAGGCACATCCTCATATAAGAAAAAACCTCTAGCAGGCTTTTCAAGGAGGGATTACAGGTTTCTAAACAACCTTAAGGCCTGATGTGGCTCAAGTTCCAGTTTTCTTCTTAAGAAAATCACAGTTCTTCCAGATGGACAATAGGACAGCAGGTGACATATATTTGAAATGCAAAACATTGTTGTGAGAAGGAGTTACCTGATCAATCAAGGGTTTTATTTATTCCCTCAGGCAGGGAGCTGGGAGTTTCTGGGAGATCTAGTAACAGCCTGGGGGCTGCTAATCCTTGTGAGTCACCTGAAGACTTGATGTATTGATAATAAAACAGAGCTCCTTCTCTAAAGCCAGGAATATGCTTTGGAGAGCTGGTAATGGTCTGGTGGCAAGGCCTTCATGGAGGGGTTCCTTTAGGTCCTACCCAACCTTTTCACTATATGGAGCTGTGGTTATCAGTTCCCAGGCCACTGTGCTCTTTGTAAAGTTCTTGAGATAACCTGTGTTCCAACTGAGTAGAATTGTCTGATCTCCTCCCAAATTCATATGATATTGCTTACTGACTTCTTAAAATTCTCCCATTTCCTTCCATTTCCCCTCTGGAAGTATCCAAGATGCTATTCTTCTTTTACTCCATTTATTAAAATTTTTTTGAAACAGTGTTTCTCTTAGGACTTGTCCTACATTACACCTTTAAAATCTTAAATTAAATGATTCTACCACCAGTTTCAAAGTTATAAATTTGAGTTATGAAACTGAATATCCATTGCAGGTAAAGGAAAAGGATTTGCATGTGGACAGTGGTTTCTACCTCAGTCCAGAATAGAAGCAACAGATAGGATAGACTTCACCTTAATTTGCCAGTCTTTCCTTTTCACTTATCTAGTTTTTTATCTCCAGAATTCCTTCAGCTTGCATTCATTTACATGCTTCTATTTCAATTTTCACTTAGTGAAATGATTTATTCATTTCTATAAACTGTTTGCTTGTTTGACTTTCTTTAAGGTGTTTATTATTATTCTCCATGATTTCATTTATCTTTCCCTTGCTTTTTTAAAGAATTCATTCACTTCCTTCTTAAGGACAAGAAACATCTTCATAGTTGATCTAACTTAATTGTACTTTGACTGTGTTTGAATAATGAGAGTGTGCTGTAGTAGGAGAGTTGGAATATGGTAGTGACATATTGTTCTGTCTGTTGTTGATCATGTTATTGTGCTCTTGTCAGGTATCTGGGTCTGAGGTGACTACAGGTCTAGGTGCCAGTATCTCTGTTTGTCTTTGTTGGATGCACATTTGGTTCCCTGGTTTCTATTTGCTCTTTGGTATTATGGTCTGTGTTGCCTATGATAAAAGTAGATTTTTTCCCCCATTTCGGGGTCTGGAAGACTTTCAGCAGGCATGACTTTAGTACTGCCTAAGTATTCAAAGTCATTTAATTGTAGGTGCATGAACTTCTTCTTGCTTGTTATGCTTACTTTACATTTTTAAAATTAATATAACTATTTTATGTATCGGCATGATTATGGACCACATGGTTACCTGGTCCTCAACATGATCAAAGGATCTCAGAATTTGTGAACCTGGAATAATGGATAGTTATGATTCCCAAATAAGTACTGGCAATTCTGTTACATCTATTCAAGACCATCAAAAGCTAGGTACTACTCAGTCATCTCTCTCCCAGCCTGGGTTTATTATTTATGCCCAAGATATATATTGCTAGTGTTTTCATCTGTCCATTTGTAACTGTTTAAACATAAAGCTCTGTTTGTAAAATGTTATTGGTATTACAGTTTAAATAGGGCACTTTGGATGTTTGGAAGATAAATAGAGAAGTGGAGTGAATGCATCCTTCTTTGTAGGAACTTCAGTAAAAACCTCTGAGTTCTTCTATTCTTCTTGCTTGATTCACTGATTTTTGCAATGGAGACAGTATCTTTTGTTTGTTTGTTTTTTTTATTGTTTATTTGATTTTTGAGACAGGGTTTCTCTGTAGCTTTGGAGCCTGTCCTGGAACTAGCTCTCATAGAACAGGCTGGACTCAAACTCACAGAGAACCACCTACCTCTGCCTCCTGATTGTTAAGATTAAAGGCATGCACCACCACTTCCTGGATGATAGCGACTTACTATGTACTTCCTTCCACCTGTACTGGACCTCATTGCATAGACATGTCTGGCATTTAACTCAGAGAAAAATATACCTGCCTCTGCTTTTGAAGTTCTGAGCTTAAAGACATGAGTCAATGCACCCAGTTTGTTCAACTTATTTTTCTATTTGTAGTTAGTTGATCTTCATAAAAAATTTTCATTTGTACTATGAACTGTTGATCTGTTTCCTTGTTTCTCTCTGCTAATAGATATTTTCTCTTGTAAGGTGACATCTCATTCAAAGAGTACAGAAATGATAGAGAAGACGCTCCAATTCAGTTTCCTTCTAAAATGACTGTTAATGTCTTGGAATATGATTAGGGAACTCCAAAATTATATGACTATACTATCAAAGAAGTATACATTTACAATGTTGTCACTATCATGTCACTATCATGTATGACATTTTAGAAGGCAGTGACCTATGATGATGTGCATATCTACTTCACTGAGGAAGAGTGGAATTTGCTGGATCCTTCCCAGAAGAATCTCTACTAAGATGTGATGCTGGAGACCTACAGGAACCTCACTACTATAGGTAAAAATGAATTTCCTTCATGTTTCAAAATAAAGGGACAATTTTTCCTTGGTTAATGATATTCTTCAACAATTTGATTTAGAAAGGAGAAGAAGAATGAGGTGAATAAAGCAGCCATGGTTCTAAGGTTTACTTAAAATAGCTACTTAAATGTTGCACAGTATTCAATATTATAACATACATTTTCTGGTCCTGCATTTTAGGATACATTTGGGAAGAACATAATAGTAAAAAACATTGTCAACATTCTAGAAGACATGAAAGGTAATTTTCTGATGCATGCTGAAAATAATGATCCTCTGATGAAATGATAATCTGTCCTAGAAGATTAAAGGCAACAGTGTGAATAAGCACAGCTTTAAGTGCATTTATGATTATTAACTTCTGAAAAATCCATATAGAATTTCATGTAGTTGAATTACATTTTCAAGGCATTTTTTTAATTAAAAAGACATGAGAAATGGCTAAACAGATATCAGCATTTGAAGCATACAACCATGAGAGCTATTCTGTAGATCCACCAATCCATTTATTTCTTACTACTCATAATACAAAATGTGTACACATTGAAGTAATGATAAGTATATCTGCAAGACTTTCTACTAAACTGAGAACACATAGTAAATCTTGTATTACTCATATACTTCTTATTGCTATATTAAGATTGGTGACAGAAGCAGTAAGAGTTAAGTGGCAGTTGTTGTGAAGAAACTTTAACACCTCTACTGCACATCTATGAGGAACAGAATGTCACACCATGATAATTCAGTGTGGAAATTTTTTGTTTGTGATTCTTCCTTTACCTTGTATACCACAAATTACTCTCAATACAAGCCTATGAGCATGGGAATATGGAAAATCACAGCATATCTCTCTCTAAAAACAATTAGAAGATAGCATTAGTCCCCATGTTAAGTACCCTTTCTCAAATTGATCGAAATATATAAAAAATTAGTTTTCTCACATAACTGTTAATACATAAAAAAGTCACAGTGCAGAGAAGCCACATGAGTTCTAGAATGGTGCAAATACTTCTTATTGTCCTACTTTACTTAGCAAATGTAGTATGATTTACAGTATAGGACAGTATAAGAATACAATAAAGTTGTTCTGAGGTTATTCAGTTATCTTCAAATATGTGAAATATGTCAAATTGAAAAATGTTTCTGTAAAGGGGAAAACTTAAACCACATAATAAAGGAATTTACCATGACAAGTGTCTTAAAAATGCAAAAGAACCCTTAATTACAGAAGAAAGCATGAGTTTAAACAAAGTTATAAAACCTTAATATCTGAATTCTATTTACAATTAGACTAAATTATAAAAATAATACATACAGATATGTAGGTTCATGAGTGTATTGAATGTGGTAAAACTTTTATGTGTTCCAGTTATACTTGCAGGATTAAAAGAAATAATTCTGGAAAGAAATATTCAGTACATCCTCAATGTGATAAAGCCTTGGCATATGATAGTCAGCTTCAGAGGAATAAAAGAAAACATTATAGTGAGAAATCCTATGAATCTAATCAGTGTTGTAAAGCCTTTGCTCATCACAGTTCTTTTCAAATAAACACAAGAACACATACTGAAAAAAAACCCTGTGAATGTAATCACTGTGGTAAGGCCTTTGCATATCAGAGTGATCTTCAAAGGCATAAAAGAACACATACTGGAGAGAAACCCTTGAATGTAATCAGTGTGGTACGCCTTTGCTCAACACACTCATCTTCAAATACATAAAAGAACACATACTGGAGAGAAACCCTATGAATGTAGTCAGTGTGGTAAGGCCTTTGTTCAACACAGTCATCTTAAAGTGCATAAAAGAACACATACTGGAGAGAAACCCTATGAATGTAATCAGTGTGGTAAGACCTTTGCTCACCATAGTGCTCTTCAAAACCATGAAAGAACACATACTGGAGAGAAACCCTATGAATGTAGTCAGTGTGGTAAGGCCTTTGCTCAACACAATGCTCTTCAACGGCATCAAAGAACACATGTGGGTGCAAAAAGGTATGCATGAAATGAGTTTGGAAAAGTCTTTTCATGTCTTATTCATCTTCAAATGCAGAAAAGGACACAGATTGGAAAGAAACTTGTGAATGGATTTGTTTTGCAAATCCTTTGTCACGATAATCTCCAAGTACATGAAACAAATCATCCTGGAGAGAAACTGTAAACTTAAGGATTATAGTCTTCAAAAACATGAGAATAATCATAATGTAGTGAAAAAAATAAACTTAGTGTTGTAAATGTTTTGTACTTTTTCCATGAGTAAAACTTTTTGTGTGTAATCAATCTGGTAAAGTTTTTGGGTACCTGAAGAAGACACTGAGGGTTTCTTATTGCAAATTAATTTTAAGCCATCACATTTACAGTCTATTAACCAACAGTATTTATTCTGTAAAAAAAAATGATTGTGTCAACAATCTGTTCAAGCATTATGATACCAGCTTTTATTTTATTTGCACCAGGAAACTCATGGACAAAACCTAACTTGTGATCTTATGAAGTCTTTTGGGAAGGAGATAGAGCCAGGGTAAGAATCTCAACCTGGTACTGAAATGAGATACAAAGGAAAACCCTTTGCCCCTAATTCCAGAACTAGTGAAAAATACAACATCACCCTGAAAACACAGTCAAACATCAAAACTGGATACTGAAAGAAATCTGCTTTGTCTCTCAAACCAGAGCAAAAAAAAATGCAATCTACCCTTGTCTCTCTGAGCTCAAAACCAACCAACTCCAGAGCACAAAATCCAGCCCATCTCTGAGCTTGTTCAAGCCCAGTCATTTAAATCTGACCAATTCTCACCTTCTAAATCTCCTTAGAGCTGCTCTGCCTCCAAGAAGCCCTATATGAGTCATATGCTCATTCAGTTGGCAGCTGCCTCTTTCCAAACTTGCAGAGGAACTCACACTCTGGATTCTTCCCTCCCAAATAAATCTCTTGACTGAGATTTATATGAACACCTTCTTTCACTGGAATGGATCAGGAAATCCCTAGTGGAGTTGAACAGAGATACAGTTGACATAACTGTTTGGAAACTCACTTAGCCCAGAAGAGCACAGAAGCAATGGACACCTCTTATGGGAGACTCCCTTAGAAGAGTGGAGCAGATCAGAAACTGACATTTCTGCTGGGAAGCTTTCATAGAAGAATGGAGCAGAGCCCAGCTGTAATGACTCTCTCAGAGAGAAAGAGAATTGCTATGTCTAGTGGGGGCAAACTTCTTTTCACAGCTGTTGGTGTTGCCTAACTTTCAGTAGTCAGCGTATCCTTCCTTCCAGAATTTTAAGACTTGCAAAATGAATTTGAACAATAATGTAACCCTTTTAGATTTTATACTCTCTTCAACTGCATGGAATTTGCAATTCAGGAGTAAATATTTATGGATGTGTACTGCCTCCTTTTTGGTTGTGATATAATGTCTCTTTCAACATATAAAAGCATATAATTCAGGCCATGGTTCTAGAGGAAAACAGGATCACCATGAAAGAGCCATGACAAAAAGTGTCAGACATGGCACTAAAGCTGGAACTTAAGAACCCAAAGCTGTAATCTTCCACATGAAGCAGAGTGTTGGAACTGGAACTGGTGTATGAATGTAAATTCTCATAGCCTACTCTCAGTGACATATTTCCTTCAGCAGTGCAGCGTGTCCTAAATCTTCCCAAATGATACCACCAAATTAGAAGGATTTATTTCTCTTACTTCAAGTTTAAATTTGATTTCTCTTTACATGAACCAATACTTCATGAAGAAACACTCTGTAAGTGAGCTGTAATATGCCTGGACTCATCTTTTACATTAATAAATGCTTACAGGAGAAAAATTTCCATGCGTGAAAATTTTTTTAAAAGTTTGCTTTTGTTGTAATGATGTGCATGTGTATGTGTGTGTGTGTGTGAGAGAGAGAATGTTAATGTGCATTCTGTATTCTGAAAACGTTAACACCTTGCATCTTCTTGCAGCAGAAATTACAGGTAGCTCTTAAAAATTTGACCTGAGTCCTTGGAATGAAGATTTCTTAGTCACCTAGACATGATTCTAGTCCTATAAATATTTTAATGTCTATTCATATTACATTGAATTTTGGAAGTAGGAACAAACTCATAAGCAGAAAACAATTTTTATTGACTTTAGCCATCAAAGTTTTCTTCAGCTTGAAGAAAAATTATTTTTCATCATAACTTTGAAAGAAGTAAATTATGTAACATGTTCACTCAAGATTGATGGTGGAAATCATTGCATTTTGGTTTCTATTTTGAAACATTTGAGGTAGGTACTAAAGTGTTCTATATTGTGACAACTTTATTTACTAAAATTTAATTTTTATACATTATATTCCTTCTATGGCTTTTGTTCAGCTTCTATTGTGCCTTTCCCTAGTAATAGGTATTTTTATGATGTAATGTATAAGATGACATCCCCATCATTGAAGTGACCCATTGGTTATTAAAATATTAAAACATGTCTGATAATAATTTTCAAGTAAGGAATTTTCAAGTAAGTGAAAGGGTGGTCAGTTGTTTCTGGTTTTGACTTTCATCTTTTCACAAAATTCCTTGAGGTCCTCATGCTGGCTTGGATGTCAGTAATGATTCAGAGATACATTTGAAGTCATGATGCTTATGTGTCTGCTACCTGAGCACAAGTTCAAGGGTAGATGATGAACTCCCAATGTGTTCTGTTTTCTCAACACAATTTAACAATGTTAATGCTAAAATGACTGAAAAAATGTGATTATAAGAAACATTAAATACCTCATGTGTGTATTCAAAAAATATTTTCATTTATATGATATTGATATAATAAAGTAAAATAATCAGCAATCAGTTGTGTATCTCATACCATAGCTTGATGTTCTGCTGGGATGAATGTTGGGTTTCTTGCCTAGTATACAACAGTTTCTTCCCACAGAACTATATCAGTGATGATCAAATTTGATTTGAAGAAATAGTACATCAGTAAATTATTGTCTTTCAGATTGTAAATGTAAATTCATTCAAGGGTATAAGGACCCAGGATATCTTGAATAATAAATCTTTGCATATGTACTTATTTATACTACCATACATTTCTAATTTGTTCATTCTGAAGGCTAAATATATATTTATAACTCTTTCTTAGAAGATAAATTATATGGCATAGAATTGTCTCATTTAGTAAAGTTCATTGCTGCTAATTCTGAGAACCTGAGTTCTATCTCTGGGTTACCGATAAGACTTCTACAGTTGTTTCCCATATTTTCACTTGGGTGCTTCCATGTGCAAACTTCTATATGAGCTCATTGATGAATAATTTTTAAATACAAAGAAGTGCCATTGAGGTCACTTGCAGCCAAATGGTTCCCTAGGTATCATCACTAGAACTCACTAAGTGGAAGTAGATCATAGACCCCTGTTAGTTTTCCTGTCAGTGCTACATACACATCATGGCACAGGTGTATTCACACAAACACACTTCAAACATTTAAAAATGGATGGAATTAACAATGCAAAGAAAATAACCCATTATTGAGAACATACGAAATGATTTGGCTGTTCATATTATAGAATTTCAAGAAATATTGCTCATCATGAAAACAATGGTGCTCCCTCTAAATCTTATTTCTTTCTCTGATTCAATGATAAGTCCTTTAAAAACACCTATTTCAGCTGGACTTAGAGGTGTATGGCTATAATCATAGCACAAAGGAGTATGTGTGGGGCCACCACAGTAAGTTTGAGGTCAACTTGTTCCCCATCATGAATTCTTGAAATCCCTGGCTATGTGGACTTTTTCTAATCAAATCTGGCTTGAATCAGGTTTATTTTAACCAAGTTTTTTATCTTTTCACATAAGGAGATCTGTTTTATCAATGAAGATAAGAAGCAATATAGAAATTCCATTCACATTCAGTCTATTAGATCCTTTGACAACCATCTAGAGGTGATGTTATCTTTCAAGAGACAGAAGGAAACTGGGACACCTTCACCATCAGCATTATCATGACATATGGGAACTGGAGAGTGGTCTCAGGAGTACTGGTTCTCTTGGGTACCCAAGTGTGATTCCTATCCCACATTTCAGATTGGTCAGAACTCCATGTAATTGTAGGTCCTGAATATGTGGTACATTATTCTGGCTTCTTATGGCACAAGATATGCAAATGCTGAACAGAAAGGTCTGTATGTGATTCTTTATTTATAATAGGTTTTCTTTGTGTGCCTGTTATCTTCAAAAAGAATGAAGTTTAATTTAGACATAGACATAGAGACAGTGTCTAATCACCTCTGACTGGAAGTATATACAGTTGTGGGTGCTGGGTATCAAGGTTGGTCCCCGTGGATGAGTCACCAGTGTTCTAACTGCTGAGTCTCATGAACATGTCAGTACCAGTGTGGTTTGAATGGTTGATCTAAGTTCTTTACCACCGCCTTGATGACCCAGAAGAAATAAAAGAGTGGTAGCATGGAAAACTAACTTAGGCTTTCTTTCTTTTTTTTTGACATTTTTTATTTTATTTTTCATTTTTTTTAATTTTTCCATTCCAAAATTTCCACCTACCCCCTCCCCGTACTTCCTGACCTATCCTCCTCCCTCCCACTCCAGTCCCAGGATACCCCATCTTGTTGGAAGTCCAAGGCCCTCCCCCATCCATCCAGTCCCATGGACGCAAACATCCAAATAGACCAGAACCCCAAAAAGCCAGTTCATCCAGCAGACACAAGTCCCAGTGACATTATCAATGGCTTCTCCGCCAGCCCTCACCATCACTCATGCCCAGAGATTTCAGCCTGACCACAGCCTCGTTCAGTCCCAGTCCAGATGGAATTGGTGAGCTCCCATTAGATCAGGGACATTGTCTCTGTGAGTGGACCAACCCCTCTCTGCCCTGACCTTCTTGCTCATCCTCTGCTTCCCTCAGCCCCTCA